GAAAGATTTAAAGCACCTGAAATTTTGTTCAATCCTGAATTAATTGGACAAGAATATGCCGGAATTCATCAAGTTGTTGTTGATTCAATCAATCGTGCTGATCTAGATTTAAGGAAATCGCTTTTCGCCAACGTTGTCCTGTCTGGCGGTTCAACACTTTATAAAGGTTGTATATAATGCTATTCACATGATAAATTTTTTTTCTGTTTCTTGTCATGAAACTTATAATATATTTATTGATAAATAGATTTTGGTACAAGGTTGTTGAATGAAGTGAGAAAATTGGCAGTTAAAGATATTAAGATTAAAATATATGCACCCCCAGAAAGAAAATATAGCACATGGTTTGGTGGTTCTATATTGGCTGCCTTGAGTACATTTAAAAAGGTTTTAATATTTTTTAATTTCTATCTATAAAATATTTTTTGATTAATGACTCTTATGTTTATATTTAATCATAGATGTGGGTCTCTGCAGAAGAATATCAAGAAGATCCAGAGATTATTCATAAAAAAAGTTTCTAGTCCATAGAATTACGAACCGGATGCGCGCCTGCATGATTTTGAACAAGAAACTGGGTTGCGTATATATAACCCTTATAGCAATCCGAAAAAATGTAGCTGATTTCAAGTGCAAATATAATTTCATTCAAGTTTTGTACCCAAGTTGCATATCTGTTTATTTATAAGTTAATTCGTTTCTTATCTCTTTTGGTATTATTTATTTTTTTTTAATTAGCGTTTAGCTCTTTTATTTATTCTTTTTTGTTTTTATATCACATAAATGGAAATTTATTTTCGTTATACCAGGTCATCTCGTGACATGGGTTCGATTTGTTCAAGGACAGTAGTCAAATTATACAGTATAACATGTGAATTTTTTTGGCTTTATATTGTTGCCGCGAATTACTGGACAGAATATCATGGAAAAAATTTCACAGCCATATAATTTATCTGATAACAGCAACATTGTGTATACATGTACTACTACTCAGCACACTTAACTCTAATGAAAAATTTTCAACATTGTTATACATAATTTAATGAAATTTGTTTATTTTTTTGCAAATATTCGATAAATTTTGATGAAACTCGATGCATTATAAAATCAGGTTTAATTTTGAACATTCGCTACTGGTTTTGTATTCCGATTGGTCATTTTGAGTTTTAAAAATTATCTAATTTTTTATCAGAAAGTTTCAACTTTACTAAAAGATACTATTGGCTTTAAAAACCATAGTTGCTATATGAGTGTCAAAGAGAAAACCTGGAATTGTTAGTTTTCCGAAATTTTATTTTCAGAAATTGTAGTGAAATTTCCGAAAATCAAGAATTTCAGGTTTTTCTTTTGCGACACTCATATCTCAAAAGCTGGCTATATAATAATTAATAGTTGTTGTTCTAAATTATATAAATTTAAAATATTTATATTTGATAAAGTTAATTTTTATTTTTATTATTTTTTAAGATAATCTTTTTTGGCTAGTAGAATTTTATTAGATTTAGTATAGTGCGAAGTCTATACTTAACAGTTATACGAAGTGTTTTAATTTTTTAAATGGTTATAATATTTTATCTAAAAGGTTTTAAAAAACTCTAATAACTTTATAGAATTATATTAGCTTTATATATATGCCAAATATCTTTTTAAAATCTTATTATTGTAAAGAGTTAATAATTGAAATTTTATATATAAAATTATAAATTTATATATAAAATTTTAATTTTCAAAATATTGTTATAAAATGAGTTTTTATCTATTTTATTATTTTTTTAATATTTAGCAGTTATATTGTTACAAGTGTTGGTTTTCTTGATACAACACAAGTAATATAAAACATGAAAGAGAAGTTCTCAATAATATCTAAGTGAAATATTACTTTATTATAGTAGTTCATTATAAAGTTAATGAAAAAGCAAAGATTATATTTTATTTATAATACAATATCGATAATACAAAACTATCTATTAGTTTCTATACTAAAGAATTCTAATATTAAAAAGATTGCAGAAATCAAATCTAATCTGAGACAAAAAAAAAAAAAAGATTATATAGCTTTTTATAATTAAGAATAAGAATAGTAAAAATAGTAAAAATAATAAGAACAGTAAGAATAGTAAGTAGCTAGAAATATTAAACTCTCTTCAATGATCTTTAAAACTAAAAATAGCAGAAAAGAAAAATAACTTTTATATAATTAAATATATTTTATTTTTAAACAAAATATTCTTAAGTAAGACTGAAGAGACTAGAAGTTCAGTAAAATGTGTTTTGTCAATAATAAGTAGACTATAAGCTAGGTATAGATTATTAGTACTTTGGAATATTTCACTATTTAAAAGAAGTTCTTAGAATATAAAAGTCACAAAAAATTCTCAAATAGAGTTGAGTACAATAACTTTTTTTATTTTTTTAAACTATTTTAGGATCATTTATTTTCACCTCCTATACTACAAGCTAGTTTTGAAGACTGCTTTAGCTATCTAGTGAATTTGGTGTTTTTTTTTCAAATAAAAAATAGAGATCTAGCTTACTCCTTACCAATGATTAGCACATATATTATTATTATTTTAGAAGTAGCTATATTGTTGTATAACAACAAATACATGTAGTTATATTATAGTTTAGGCTATTATTTTAGGCTACGATATTTACATGAACAAGCTCTATATATATTGTTACAGATAGCGTAGCCTTCTTAGTATACTATAAGTAACAGCGACATGGCTATCTAATTACTTTAAGAAGCAGTGTCCAAAAAGAAAGTTTCTTTAACTAATTGTAAAGACAAGTTCCACTCTACAAGAGGCAGTTCGTTTAGGTTTATTAAATAACAATATATTTATTAATTATAAATATTTAGAGTCAAGTACAAGAAGGGAGGGGGGAGTTGAGGTCTAAACAACTCAAGGGCAAGAGGAGAATTCTACTTGTATTTATATCTTTTAATAAGCATCATGTAAGCATTAGCAAAGTGTCATGTAAGTGACTTGTGCAAGCGTCACTTAAGCGTTCGTGCAAGTAATAGTTAAGTGTCACTATTAATAGTTTAGCACAGTAAGAGGCACAGTACTCAGCATAGTTCAGCACAGTTCAACACAGTCTTTCAGCACAGTCTGGCACAGTATTGGCACAGTATTTGGCGCAGTTTTGGCGCAGTATTCAGCAAAGTATTCAGCACAGTTCAGCACAGTGTTCAGCACAGTCTGGCACAGTTTTGGCACAGTATTTTCTTGCTACAGCCTATGTTTTCTCCTGATATTACATAATAACTTCAGATGTAACTTATATCATCGTGTAGCTGATATTCTTGGCTACAAAGTTGCTTAAGGGTATTTTTCGCTATGATCGCTTCTTGAGGTACTTCACTTAGAGGTAAATGTTTATAATGATTTTTTCTACTCTAAAATATCTATATTATAATATAAAAAATAACTAAATACTAATAAATGTAACTAATAATATAATTAAAATATAATAATAAAATGATAATAAAATAACTAAAAATCTATCCTATAACAATATAAACAAAAACTGAATAGATATATTAAAATTATATAGATATATACAAACAAGTACAAGTTATATATATAATTTTTAAATACCTTATTTGAGTTCTTATTTCTTGTTAGGTTAGGTTTAAAATTAAAATACTTTTCTTTTCTTTTTTTCTTGTTTTGTTTTTTCTTTTTGCCTTTTTATTTTTTTAACTGTTTTAAGGTTTTTTAACTTGTTCATAAGTTTTTCTTTAGTATAGTTTTGAACTTAGATTATTATCTAGTATGTACTTAATATTTTCACTAGGTTTAATAATTTTATTATATTTTATATAATTTGACCTCTATACAGTTAAATAAAGTTTCTAGATTTTCTTTTTTTTTATGTTAAGAAGATATTTCTAGTGTAACAGGTCATATCTGAGTATACAAAAGAGTATCAGATAGTGTTTCTTATTAGAAAATAAAGAATAATATAAAGGTTTTTTCTTAGACCTGTCAACTAATTTGTAATTTTACAGTTTCATAAATAAAGTAAGTATAACTGTCAAAGAAAAAAAAAAAGTAAAAATAGTAAGAATACTAAAAATAATAAAAACAATAAGAACAGTAAGAATGATAAATTAATTATAGTTGTTTCTAAGATAACTTAAAAACTAAAAGTTCTATAGTTATAAATTATAGCTTGTTTAAAAGATTTTTTAAGCTGAATCTAATGATACAACTTAAATCTATTTATGATTACTAAGTTATTTGTAAAAGTAATAATAAATAAAATATATTTAAGTAATTAACTATTTATAATAAAAAATACTAATCATATAGTGCAACTCAAAAACTCTTTCTGATGATCCCTCGTATCAAAAATTCCTAACTTATTTTTTTAAAAAAATATACAATAAACTCTGTAGAAATATAAGAGTAACAATGCAAGAAAGTATAAGACAGCACCTATTATTTAGAGATAGTTCTTATACGCTATCTGCTAACAGGTTTAGAGTTTATCACTCACTGCAATATCATAGTGGTACTTGTTATTTAGAAGTAGTTCTCATATGCTACTTGCTGATAAGCTTAATTTTATCACTCACCCACAGAAGATAAGTACTGGTTATACTCTAGGTGAATACAAGTAGATAGTAGATTTTGAAAAATATACATTCTCTTTAAATTTTTTGGCACTACTACTGTCTCCCTCTGGACCTTTGGATTTCTCTATACTGAAAAATAAAAAAGTGGAGAATTTGGTGAACTTCTGACAAAGGATCTGCAAGTTTGTACTACTTTCTAATTTGACAAATCATCTGTTGATATGCAACTTAGACAAGACAACAAACATATACATCACCATCACGTAGATGATCCAATTAGGATTTAACTTTCAGAGAAGTTTATTGCTAGAGATATGCATTCTTGTTTTTGCATAACATAATATTTTTATATTTTGTCACACTTTTTTTTTCTTTATTTTAATTAGAGTATTTGTTTCTTTTTCTTTTTTCTTTACTTTTTCATTTGTAAGAGTTTTTTAATCTAGTAGCAGATTTTTCCCTTATAAGCTTAGTTCATATAATTAGTTATGTTTTATTATATGTAACAATTTTTATTTTTAACTTGAACTAGATATTAATAGTTTGTAATTTAGTTTTGATTAGATTA